ATTCAGAAGGCGGTGTGCTAAACCATTAGACACCAAGGCCGTGACTTTAGAATTAAAAAAAAAACTCACATAAATATACGAACTAGATTACTTCACAATTACTCAGATATATCATATTACTGGCCATCGCCTCTACCATTCACCATATTGTCTTATCCACTGACGAAGTTACCTAACATCGTTTATCTCAAATTAAATCTCTCGCAGTGTCGTAATTGTAAACATTGTAACCTTTAACATTACGCATTTTTCTAAAGCATCAATTAACGTTGTAATGGCAAAACAATACGTACATATATTTTTTGTCATACAATAAGTTGTTATCATTGAGCCAAATTGTTTGCTATCAAGGCTTTGTCTATTGGAATCGTGTACATTGTGACTATGTTTATAATATTTTATATATATATATAAATATATATTTAGAATTTTAACACGTTGAAGACCACATTGAAAAGGCATTTTATTATTGTTAATTACGTATATTATTTTTTAAATATGTTTTTAGTGTACAATAGGTATAGGTAGACATTATTTAACCACTACATTTATTTCAATTAAAGTGGCCACGGGTGATGTCGAGGTCCCAACGTGTAAATTTACTTTCGTTGAGAGTGACCCACCGTTGGGCATGCGGTCTTTTATGTGTTAGGAAACGCATTCATATCGCCATTAAATTAATTGTAGTGTGAACATAGCTAAGTATGAAAGAATAAGTGGAGTGAAAAGGAGTAAGTGAAAGACGAAACGACGTGTTACTATTAAAAAATATTTTGTGTTATGAAAAAGACTTACTAAAAGCTAGTATTTTAGTAAACCCCTACATATATATGTATATTCTGAATTGATATTTGTAACTAATGATTCATTATTGTCTACTGAAACTATTTAAATGAAACAGGAATAAAATGAAGTATTTAAATCTATTTACTATTGAGATCGATTGTTTGCTTAAAATAATTCAATATCTCAATATTAGTCAATATTGTGTTTGCAAAATTTGGGATTTCGCCACGCAACTTCGTCTGTATCACACTTATCATTACATATAGCCCAATTTACATAATATCTTTCTAAATTATAGCCTATGTGTTATTCTGATGTATAAGATATGTGACTGTAAAGTTTCATCAAAATCGGTTCAATAGTTTTTGCATGAAAGAGTAACAAATATCCATCCATACTCACAATCTTTCGTATTTATAATATTAGTAAGAGAGACAATATATTATTTTATTTTTTAACTAGCTGTTACCAGAGACTTTTAGATAGAATCTTCATTATATTTCTGTTTAATTTAAATAGTTCCCGCTGCCTGACCGTAGACAATAATTAATCGTTAGTTACAAATATCAATTCAGAATTCTCGCTACCGTATCACGAGTCATGTCGTAATGATTCTAGGTATGCATAATCTAAACACACGCTCAGATGGATATATCGATAAAAATGTCTACGTGTCACATCACTATGCAATCGAAATTGTACTGTCAACATGTCTGCACACTCTTTAGTTGAGAGATGGGTGCGGTTGCAGTACGATAATTTAATCATTTCTTTCAAATACCGAAGGGAAATATATAATTTAATATAAACGATTTTTGTTAACACGTATAGATAATAATATCTCAGGACAATTCACACAGCTAATCTAGTCCCAAGCGAAGCAGTAGGTACTTGTGTTATGGGTTAAACATCAGACTTAATTTTCTTTTTGTAAATAATGAATATCCAGACCGATAAAAACAACCATGCCAATGCAAATATTTGTACCGCGCTAGGAATCGAATCTTCGACCATCGTAGGTAAGGCGGTGTGAAAAACCGCTAAACCACGAAGTCATCCAAGAAAACAATAATGAAGAATTTAATCGAAAAAAGATGAATGATAAACTAGCACCTTTATGTAATTAGCATAGATATCGTATGAAATATACACAAAAAAAGGTACCGGCGAATTTAATTATACGGCTAATATTGATCAGTCGGTTAATAAAATTAATATACTTTACTTCAAAAAAATCAGCGCAATCGGTTCTGAACTCCTGAATTAACAAGGATATCGCGTTATATGCATACTAATATTATAAATTAGGGGGTGGTGAATCGGCGCTACCGCAGTCTGCCGTCGTCAGTGCCGTGACCACAGACAATTTATATGTATATTATTACTTCATATGTATGTTAGTTTATAAGTTTTTATAATATGAGCCCTTACTAGCTAGAAATAAATAAATAAAAAAAATCTGATAGTGTGTCTGTGTATGTTATTCTTTCACAACTAAACTTCTAAACGGATCATAATAAAGAAACGGACATAGGCGAAAAACAGTCGAAGTTATGAGTTTTAACAAGTCAAACTCATAAATAAATACGCAAATACGAACCTCCTTCTTTATGAAGTCGGTTGAATACGCGAGGACACAAATAAATTGCACGTATTATTAGTCATCAAGTACAATACCGATTCCAATAACTCATTATACGTTGATTTTTGGAAAAAATATAAAAAAAAGACTAGCAAATTAAGAGGATAGAAGGAAAATGTTGTAACGACGTAAATGGATTCAATGTTTTTATGTAAAAACCCATAACATTTGTTAACACGAATTTGACGATCATATAAGGCATTGATAAATTATGCCAATTTGTATTGTAATTTGTTTGAAATAAATTACACATTTGTTTTTCGTTATTGTTTCACAGCTAGTGAGTGATTTTTATATGTAGGTACCTACTGATAAAAAATCACTTGTATATACCTATATACAATTAGAAATGACTTTAAATTTAACATATATTTATTTAATGATATACATATTGAAACGAGTTACGAACAGATTGTGTAAATTTAGTTATTTTATATTTACTATGTGTATATAATATGTATGTATAATAATAGCACACTATAACCTAATATCTAATTAACACAAATTATTAATCAAATTGATATAGGGAAAGGATCCGAATGAATCTGAAATACATCTAAGCTGTATACAACACAGTCCTTTGCTTTCCTCATAGAAATTAAAAAAACAAACACTAATTTCTGTTACGCGAGTTGAAATAACCTACAAATTACGTACGAACAACTCAAACCCACACATAACGAGTGGAACAGACACCGAAATCATTTTTTATCGCGTTTACTCCAACACGGACACGGCATATGTGCTCTTATTACTTATTAGATCATTCACTCATTATAATGTCAAAACCGGAGATAAAACTAGATGACGACATTAAAAATAACTTTGCCACATTCTATACATCGCAGAGTAATTAATATTACGTTTTATAACAGTTGACTAGAATTTAGAATTCTCTTTTATAACTCATCTGTATATGAAATACCAATTGAATCTGTGTAACAAGTCAGAAATCATTATAAACACGTAAAATTATTGGGAACAACCAATGTGGAATAAAAAGTATAATCAATTACATTTAAATTAGTAGTTTGAGTACAGTACTAGTACTAATAGTAATATTACTGTTGTTGCTAAATAACAGTTATGTCTTACGTGCAAGAGAATCGAGAATAAATATATTTAATACTAGAGAGAATATATATATATATAGGTATTAATATATATCCACTGAATATCTGCATCAAAAACATGCACAGTATCGCCCAAAATATATTTTCATTTAAGTGGAGAAGGCGTGTATGGGCGGAAATAATTTCAAAATGAATATATCCAATCAATTGCTTTCAAATAAACATTGGTATCACAGTTTCATACAAAAAATATCTCGTTACAAAAGCCTGCTGTACATATTATTTGGCGACTTTATGTGCCATTTATGAAAAAATAAAGAGTATATTCTTTCCATTCGTCTTGTTTTTTAAAGAAATACGAAAGACATGCGTATACTGTACAACCATTTTTGCAAATGTTGACATAGATTTTTTTCATTTATTAAGCATTGCAACAACAACGACGAAACGCTATCAGCCAAAATAGGGCATCACAAAATGAACTTATTACTAAAACTGGATACAAAGAAATTTAGTCCAGAGCATAGGCATCGTTAAAGGTAGACAATGTGAGTAATCTCAATTTATGCAAAAAGTAAACGTGCAAATACTTAACTAATTATCTTACAAAACTTAGAATATTGACAGCGAATTCCCTATTACACTAAAATGGAAAAACAGTGGAGTCTCTAACTAGAAATTAAGTTTAACAAAGTTTTCAAAATATACAATGGAAAAATATCAATGGAAATACTGTAAAAATTCTTCTTTGATAAATAATATCAAATATTATACCAATCATCATACAAATCCAACCATCCGTTTAGTAGTGAAAAGATAATAAAACAGCCAAACTGACACAAATACACTTTCGCAATTAGAATCATACACTCTCTATTTAATTTTAATTATAATGCTTAAAAATACGAAAATGCAACTATCGAATACTTTAATATATTTCTTATACTCGTAAATTCCAAATTTGAATATTTGAAACATTCTATTGAGTGCGATGGTCATTGTGACCCGAGAGCGCGCGAAGGCCAGTCCGCCGTATTAGTTTTTAATAAGTAATTGTACATTAAACCACGTTACCAATTTCGTCATGAATACACGTTATTTTTTTCTCTCGCCTCGCTCCGAGCAATCTCGTTTTCTCGAAAATAGATCTAATATGTTGAATATAATTAATTTTATACCGACTCGGTTGATCGATGCGTGTTACTTTGCGTTCCTTTTTTAAAGTATCATTATTTTTAAATTACAGTGTATTACGTCAATTCGTCTAGAAAACGGAACGTTTTTTCATTCGAAATTACTTTACGCGAATTTCGCATGTTCGATGAATTTTTAAGGTGTAATTTTGAACGACTGACCATTTAATTTATAAGTAATTGTAGTTTAATAATACGGAATAGATGAAACTAGCATATAATATTATCTAATGTAGTTCTATGTAATTTCCTAATTTTTGACTACAACCAGTTTTGATGTTAACGTTATTTTTTTACTTGTTCCAGATGTTACTACAGTTGGCTGATTTCGAAGACTGATTAATATGTATAATAAGCCAACAAGGAAATGATCGATTCATGAATATCCCCAGGTAATAATAATCGATTAATCATTAATACGATTTTTATATTTAAAAACAATGAAGAGAAAATTTAAATTCAAAACATTCCACAGCATTCAGCTAATCTTACTGTCAACAAAGGACTATTGTTTCTTCTCGATACATTGTTTCGATTTAAATCGAAATAAAATGAATCACTGTTATGATTCGACACTAAAATGTATTCAATCAAATTTGATTGTTTATACAAAACTTGAATATTCGTATTGTTTACAGGACGGACTCGTTTCAAGTCCTCGTGGGAGTACAAACAGTGCGATGACTACTGCGATGGCAGCTCACCAGGACTCTATACACGAGAGACTACAAGCGGCGCCTGAAGAACCCCTATTCCTTCACCATGGCTCGGCATCTTGGTCTGAACCCTCCGACCATCAAGAGGAACATATCACAGACATGTCTCCATACTACAATATGCCAAAACGGAATAAAAGAAAGAATTTTAAGCCCAGATGCGCACCTAATGCTAGCGCCTACTCTGATGACTCAAATGGTGAAAACTGTGATGAGGCAGCTAGTCCAATTAACGGTAATGATAGGACTTCACCAGAACAAACAGTTGATGAAGAGAAAGAGGAAGAATATTCTAAAATTGGTGTCAAAAATTTTAGTCTTCTCAAAGGAGGTGCTGTTGATCTCAGTAGAAGGTTAAGCATCGATTCTAATGAGAATATAGATACGAATTACCAAAATAGGTTACCTGAAGAAAAGAAGGTGGATTCCTTTCAGCGTTCTTATATACATAGTTTACAGATAAATCCAGAAACTGAAAGGGATCACACTGTATTAAATTTTAGTAGTCTACAAAATAAATCGTTCTGTGCCAAAAACCCTTTTGCTATATCTCAATTAATTAAAACTAATTCTCCTCCAAGAAGAAGGGAATCTGATTCTGACGAGGAGAAAGGTCAGGATATAAACGCTAATGACAGATTAGAAGGTCAAGAGTCCATGGATGTTAGCGAGTCCCACCAAAATGGTGATACGTCAAATGCTACAAACAGAATTTTACGGGATTATGCTATGAACACTATGAAGGAATTACTGGGAATATATGGGTTGTCTTCTAATGAAGTTGCTGATGCCATAAGTGGGCAGATTAGGGCACTGGAAGCACTTCAAGGTCAGTTTTCTTATTTTTTTTATTAATATTTAACTTAAATTCTTAATAATAATCATTCATGGAAATTTATTGAATACAAGACTAAAAATCTTTAACATTTTGCTTCAGGAAAACCATTTACTCAGCTTCCTTTAAGCCTGAAAAGACGACACGACTCAAGTATGGATGACGGAACAGAAAAAAGTATTAGAAGGTCATCATCGGCGACCGATGATGAGGGTTCAGCAAATATTACCCCACCTAAAACCCCTGATGACGATATGGAAGTACAAAGGTAAGTTACAACTATAGAATAAGTTGCTTTATTCATAAATTGAAATGGGAGTGATAAATTTTGTCTCATAACTTTTATTTATAGAAAAGGGTTAGCTCGTAGAGACTGTGAAATATTTAATGTAAAAATAGAAAAACCTCACGTAATTGTTACTTATTTATGTAGATAGTGAATTATTTACTGTAGGCTAAAGAGAAACGTTCTTATTATTTCTCATAGACCTTATGACCGACGTAACAATAATATGATAATTACTGCAAACAATATTCTTTATCTCCAAAAACTTTTGACAGACAAAGAGCTCTACAAATTATTAACCAGCAGTCGATGCGGTTATTTGGCAGATCTCAAGCTCAAGAGGAAGAGGGTAGTGGTTCTGATGACGGAGAGCAGACTCTTGACTTGAGCGTGTCAAGAGACACAGATGGGCAGGTGAGAAATTTGATTTTTTTAAACTAAACTAATAATGCAGCTAGATACTGTAACTATATACATCCAAAGTATACATAATAGTTATCATTATAGGGAGTCAAGACAAATCGATGCAAAATTTGCTAATTATCTGATTGTGTATGAATAATATTTATTTTTATAAACAGGAACAATCAGCGACTTCAAGCGCCGGTAATAGTGTATCAGAATTTGACCAACAAAATATGCTGATGAGAAAAAATTTAGAGGACTTGGCAAATTTACAAATGCAGGTTAGTAGTAGTTAAGTGTACATATGTTTACATATTAGCACAACCACAGACTATAATAATATTTAATCCACTGTGATCCAGGATAGATAAGAAGGATAAGGTCCAAGGACATGGATCCTTTGCTATAGGTTGATTGATGAATCTATTTTATTACCAAAAAGCAAAGAGGCTTAGTTGCTTTTTTGCTTTGAAACTCTAGAAATAAATAAACCCTGTCGCTAGATTCTTTTATTAGTGCTATACAAACAAATACTAACATTAGATAAAACTTAGATGCTAATCAGACTAGAGATGTTTCAAAATATCATTTTTTGGTTATAGGGTTTCTTTCAAAAGCAATCATCTTTGGAAGCTGACGATTCACAAGAGAGAAAACTGCAGGCCAGTGGTAAGTTTTTTCATATATATTTTCAATAACAGGAGTTAGATCTAATGATCCCTGGATCGTTGGAACTTATAATATCTACTCCATGTCTTTCATTGACTCTTCATCGTCATTTCTTTCATCTCGTAAATCTCTGAATTGAAATTTAGTGAGAACTAAATAGGGGTACAGTATCTAATTGTTCACTGATTTATTTAATCAATTCAACCCGATAAATCTCCATGCATCATATTGATAGAGTAAAAAGTCATCAAACTAAAGTGATCCTTAATTAAGATACTCTAAAACCCTAATAAAAAAATAATTTGTTTTCCGGGATATTACTATATTTTAAAAAAATGTAACAATACGTCTCTACGACAATATTATAGTAAACAGTTATGTTTTAATTTTTGCAAATTAGCATCGAGTTAGCTTTGGATTGTTAGAATTGTGCAAATACGTGAAAATAGGCCAGTATTACTTCAACCTGGAGGTTATATTTTGCTAAACGTTTTCTCTCGTCTGCACAATTAGCATCTGTCGGTCATTACAGCTTTGTGACAAATCTCTGTGGATCAGCTTGAAGATGAGATACTTCTGAGATCTTTGTTTAGTGATCTATTAATTTATTTCCATTATTTCTATAATTATAATTATAATAGCGATCAAGCTAATGAAAGGTGACAACGATTGCTAATATATATATATGAACGTTTAATTAATTATGTTGCATTGTACAAGTATAATGTAGTGACTCACAAACACTAGTAAATACACATACATAAAATGCACCTTGTTTCAACGTGGAATAGAAACAGATGTTCATATTATTCATTAGCATTTTGCAAATATTCATGAATGGAGTAATATGCTTTAATTATTAGTAATTGTTTTAACATGTTAGCAAATTTATTCTACTTATATTCCTTTTCTATTATATCAGGCAATTTATTATTATTGACATAGGATAAAGGCCGGAATTATGCATTTTTAATTTTGATGTTGTTTTAACTACATTATTTTTGTAATGTGTCTAAACCTATAGCGTAATAACTGCGGACATTATAATTTCACTGCCTTACCCTTCTTGCAAGCTGGATTATTCATAGATATAAGAATAACGGGGTCGACACAGAGGACTTTGTGCAAAGTCTATTTTGATAAACTAATGAGATAAGTGTAAGGTAAACGCGAAAAAAGAGCTGGAATATTCATGAATTCTAAAGACGTAAGGGTATCATTGAAAATTATATGGTACATGGTAATGGTTACCACTTACCATACACAAGTGGACAATCATATAGATAGATAGATATATAAGAATTTTTATTTGTATCTTAGTACACACATATATACTTAATCATAAGTTGTATAACAATACAGATTATTTAAAACAATGCAATACAATAAGGGTGAATCTGCATGTATGTGCTATAGCAATACAAAATGGTTATCAGCTATGTCTTTGAGGGTGAATGTACGTTTTTTAAAAACAAAAATAATCTGAACCAAATAATAAAGGAACTTGAAATTAGGAGTTACGCAATCAAATTCCAGTTACAAAAAAAAACTGTATATGTCTTAGTAACAACGTTGGTTAACAAATATGTAACGGTTCATTATTTATTCGAATACAAACATAATTTAAATAATGCAAGTAAATGACCATAGAGCGCCATAGAGCATACGTTTTTACAAAAATATCATTGATACTTTACATGTTCCTGTTAAAACTGACATGGCACTAATTTATTCTGTGATCGGGTGTTTCGACTGTTTTCTTCTCAATTAAGAATTCCAAACAAATATTGAGTTTCATGTACAGTGAACTTTTAGAATATATGGAGTGAGAAATTTGACATGACTGTCTCTCAGTGAACGTTAATTAGTATAAGACATGTGCATACATTACCACCACATGTACAGAAGTGGAATGCACAGTTGTTATATCGGTAATAGTAAGTTACATGTATTTTTTTCTAAATTCATTGAATATTGAGATAACCGTAGGGATAAAAGTAGGGATGTGAAAAATCTATTATTGGAAAAATTAATTAAATTTCTATTCGATTTTAATATTTAATAAAATCGATTACCTATTTTTTTTTTATTAAAGACATTTAAAAACCAGGCCCAGGTTTAGGCGTGTGACAAATAAATGGATATGGAAAAATAGATCATTATACTAACAAAAACAATCGTTTAATTCTGTAATAATTATATTTTATGCCGATAAAAACTTCATTCACATACATATACAAAAAATTGATAAAGAAAGCCAACCATAAAATTATATTAATTTATTAAATTATTTTAACCGTTAAACTATGTATATATGATTATACAAGTGTTTAATAACATTTCCCACTTCCCATTTCACACCACACAAACAGACGCCATTTTTATTGTTTTTTTTTCATTAATTATTATTACATATAAAATATACATGGATTGAAGCTGAAAATCAGTGATTTTTTTCTGCAATCAATCATACAATCTGAGTCTACGACCTTTTTCTATTACTATTAATTCGATATAATGACACAAACTTATATCGGCACCATGTATTGTTCATATTTATAAAAGCATAATTACGTGTGATTGGTAAATATAAAAAAAAACTATTTATCTATGTATCTAAGCAGTGCAATGAATCGTCCTGAAAAATAATATCTTATTAATATTATAAACTCGAAAGTTTGTGAGTATGTTTGTTACTGTTTAACTCAAAAACTACTGAACGGATTTTGATGAAACTTTACAGTAATATAGCTTAAACATCAGAATAACATACACGCTACAAATTTCAAGCAAGTGAAACCGCGGGCACAGCTAGTAATATATAGAACTATAACCAAACCAAAATAACATTAAAACAGTTCAGTAAACGTTTGTTTCAAGGTTCAGACTTTCATTTAATTACCTTTTCTGTATGTTCACGTAATAATGAAGTGAAACTGCAGCGCAGCTTTATAACCTCGACAATTGTGTAGTCGGTTCGATGCCGAGATTGTCCCTATTAGGAAATTGCAACTTGTATGTGTATAATTAGAATGCTAGTTTTAGATTACAATTTTTAAACTAGAAAGCTTACTTTTTTATGTAATAGCAAATTGACGGTATACCTGATGGTAAGTGGTAGTCATTGCCATACATGAACAGTATTATTCATTTCATTCATAATTTAAGAGCTACGCTCTTGTTGGTAGAGCTCTTGCCACTTTCCGCGATCTTCCATCATGCTCTTTAGTTCTTGATACGACACGACTCCCATTTTTTCCTCAATTTGTTTGATGTAGCTATTCCTTGGTCTTCCCCTCCCCCTCTTTCCTTCTATTTTCCCAGTATTATGGACATCACATTATCATGTTATGCCCGTGATACCACTCATGCGCTGTCCTTCCGAAAGACTAAAATGTCATGCCTCTTATCCTGTAATTTAACTATTTTATCTCTCCTAAATACTATGTAGTAAAACTAACTAAAACTGTAAACATTTTTAGTATATCTCCTATATACTAAAAACTATTTGCAGTTTTTTAGTGTTACTTGAATTTTCAAGGCATTGTAAATTCTACTGATTGATAGCTCGTAGTATGTATCTATACACTCTAACTATACTGAATTTACTAATGGTCTCCGTGGTCTAGCGGTTCACACTGCTTTACTTTCGATGATCACGGGTTCAATTCCTAGCACGGTACATTTGTCTATTATTTATGTATCGGTCCGGGTGTATTCTGTGTATATTATGTATGTATATACAAAAAAGAATCTAAGTCGTCTAGTACCCATAACACAAGCTCTGCTTACCTTAGAACTAGATGACGTTGTGTGAATTGTAGAGGTATTATTATTAATTTAGGGTCAATTTAGTATAAGTTTGGTATGAAACAACATGTAACAATATAATGCGTGTAATAAAAATGTCATTGGACACAATTCCTCGTAGTTTTTGGCGAGGCGTGTACCCTAGCGACCCTAACCGTAATTGTAGAAACCTCGGCTCCTCTAATCTGCTTCAATAGAGGCAAATTCACTCAATTGAGGACTGTGAGCCACTGTCGTTAATAAAATCTCGTCGCCACAGTTTACTGGGCCGGGAAACGTTTCGGATGGTTTTTGTGCATTGTTATTATACACTACATAATAATAATAATACACGCACCCATACATACATACACACACAGTGAAAATAATAATAATGATTTTAGGACAATGCACACAGCGCCGTCTAGACCCAAGTTAAGCTAGCTAGAGCTTGTGTTATGGGTACTAGACAACTGATACAATTAATAAAATGTTTGTTTTTAAATACAAACAATCATACTCTTGAATACAATTTTTTGTACCGTGCGAGGAATCGGACCCCCGACCATCGGAAGTAAGGTGCTGAACCGCTAGACCACCGAGGCCGTTGATTGATGTTTAGACTGGAATAGACATATGACTAATCCATAATCCTACTAATGTTATAAACGTGAAAGTTTGTGAGTATATATGGATAGATGGGTGTTTGTAACTTCGTGACACAGGTTCTTCGGATACTAGTATTCCACAAATCTGTATTTTAGCAATTTTTACATGCCTGTTTCACTTTATATTATGTCTATGTTTTTGTAAAAAAAAATATTTATGTATATAGGGTTCTCACTTCCGATAGGTCGGAAGTGAGAACCGTAACAGATAGGTCTGTTACTACGAAAAAATTAGTGCTTCAAATGTAGCACATTGGTGAATGCCGTAGTACTCGCCCGTCGCTCGGCACCCGCCGCTATCCTGGGAGGGGTCACAGATAGGCAAATGCCGTTTCCCATTTACTGAATAATGGTCTAGTTTTATCGTCCGGTGCTCGGCGATTTGTTGTTTATTGACGTGCGACAACGGTTGCGACACTGTGTATGTATGTTAGTTAGGGTTGTCACTATGTGATATTCTCCTGTATTGGTGTTTGCGCTTGCGCTAAAGTCTCATCCCCATATTTTTTTTTATGGATGATATCTAAATATATATAACTCAAA